GGGAGAGTTCCTTATCTATAGATGCATTGCTATACATACTGTACTGTACACTGTACATGTAAATCAAAAAGTACATGGATATTGTTCACTACTCACTGAATTTGATGTCCCCATTCTGTCCCTCTCTTTCATTTCATTGACCTATTGAGTCCAATCTGTACTGGGATTGGTGCTAACATCAAGTAGTGAATCTGAGGGGGTGGGATACTGGTCTGTGGCCACAGTCGCCACACCTTCAATATCCTCTGAATACCTTTAAAATTCCCTATGCCACCAACTTGTCAAAAAATCTAGTTTTGATTGGAATGAGCTCAAACTTTCTACACAACATAAGTACATGTATATGCACAATTACTTGTGATAAATGAAGTGCCTTTCTGAATCCAATAATGAAATTACATTTAAGGTCACAAGTGCATGTATAAAAAACAGACACAATTTGCCAACATGTACATCTGTAAATTTGTACATGTACATGTACATGTACCAAACATGTACATGCGTATATATTCATTCATTAAAATACCAAACATTACTTAGTAAAAAAACTAATTAGATCATTTCTAATATTTTCACTTACGAGTGTCATCGGTGAAAGTTGTTATCTTTTTGAGTACATCAAGTTCAACCTGCTGACACCCACAGAGCAAAAGCCTCAAATCGTCAGGAGCCAAACCTTCCAATAGTAGTAGGGAGGACATCATATAAACCAGACTTCATTGAATAAAATGGGAAGAGAGAGAGAAAGAGAGAGAGAGAGAGAGAGAGAGAGAGAGAGAACGAAAGACAGGAAGAAGGAAGAGGAGAAAGAATTACCCAGTAAACATGGCTATTACCCTCAGTAAACCTATCCTAACCTGGAGTGGTTCTTCAATTATCTTTATCATCTTACGTAACTTACTAAAATACTCCGACAATTAGCTCCAGAAACACTACATGTAAATTAAAAACCAATAATGTATACATGTACATGTACTCACAGGCTGAGAGTGTGGTGTCCTTATAATTTTCAAAATTACTCTTCCTCCTTTCCCTCTCTATAACAGATGGCAATATCAACCTAATATTGAACAATAATACACAATTATTATTATTATTATTATTATTATTATCATTATTATTATTATTATTATTATTATTTTACCTCTCAAGGCTGTCAACCTCATAATCACCCACTAATATTTCTTGATACCTAAGAATAATGAAATTAAATACTGCAGAACATGCACAGAATAGAATACCCAATAAAAGTATTGTAAATAAAAAATTAGATTGCTTGTAGTATAATGTCTACATAAATTGATGTGCTAGTACTTGGATGTACATGTACATGTACATACATTAATACAGTTTATGTGTGTGTGTTTGAATGATGCATTTGTGGCTAACTGTGTTTTGAATCTAATCCTGTCAGCCTCAGGTAGCTCTGGGAACAAGGACACTGAAGAGAGTTTTGATTCAACAACGTCTTCATCTAATTTGACAATAACAGCATCATCAATCTATTTGAGGGAGGGCATCAGACATTGTAATAAAATTGGGGGTAATTTGGGGGGAAATTTTTCAGAAAAATCAAGGCAATAGTCCATAATTTTCTTCACAATTTGACTGTTTTCAAAAATGCTCATAATTCAAAAAGATTAACAGCTCAAACTTTCTACATAGCAAAAGGACATCAATATGTATCAATAAATGTAATAAAAATTTGGAGTGATTTTGTAGTCATTTTTAGAAAAAAAAATGGACTATAGTCTACATGCTTAAATATCCAAAATTAGCTATTTCAAGTGATAAAGATCCACTACTCCTTACATTAGTGAACTCAGGTGACTTATGCCAGTTGGAGTGGCAGCCCAGTATGTTAATGCTAGGAGCTCCGAGTATATCAATGAAGTTATCAGGAACTGTTGGTACTATACTGTGACGCCACTCAAAGGGAGACATGTAACTCAGCAAACACTAGAAGGAAAAGAGAATTAAAGTGAAAATGAAGTAATTATTCAAGTTATTTTTACATAATTAATATGCATCAATATGTACACGTATACATGCATGTACAATGTACATGTACACATAAATAAGACACATACGTAAATTTAAAAAACATGCATGTACATGTACAAGAGTATATTGTCTTATCTTACTTGCATAACTAATGCTGGCATTGAGTAATTGGAGGAAGTGAACACAATGGTCCGTTCACTTAATAAAGCAGCAATAACCTTGAGAACATTATCAACAGAAAGATAAGACTTGAATGGATAGCCTCTGACATCAAGACTGAAGATCTGAAGAGAGAGACAGAGAGAGACAGAGAGAGACAGAGAGAAACAGAGAGAGACAGAGAGACAGAGGTAAGCGTCCTCTTGGATTTCCATAAATATCCTTCGAAGTCCTTGCAGTACAGCCTCACTAATGGAGGAGATGGGAAATCAACCCGCAGGTATTGGGCCGGTAACCAATAGCAACATCAACTAGCCTACGCCCCCGTTTCCAATCCCTTTCATTTACTCTATTATCTATGGTTATACTTCTTAGTTATTTGTGGTATCTGAAGTAGCTGAGCATTAGTAGCTAAGCAAAACCTTTTTTAGAGAAATTATGATATGTTACAAACAAAGATACAACAGCCAGTTACATGTAGCTGGCTTTTTATTATGTATGCATGGGTGTGGAACGTTCCGTGGACTGGTAACTATATGGTTGAATGCGCTTTTGAATATATGAGAATTTTTAATCTTGTAGCTATAATTATTTCATTTTTAGAGGAACAATGATGATCATTTTCCTGTGAGAAGTTGTGATGTAACTTTTAATTCTACAACCCATGACTGTCCTGGAAACAAAGTCATTGTTTTTGATTATATCCCACCTGGTGAATATGCTTACAGTGTTGAGATGAGTAATGCTATTGGATCAACTGTTTGTGATAATGGCACAGGTTAGTCCGTGTATATTTATATTTATTTTTTGGCAGTAGCCACATTTATTGAATCTTAATTTTTTACTAATGCCCGTTGTTGTAAAATTTTCACAACCTTGGAGCAAAACCCCAAGGTCGTCATAAGTTTGAATTCAGCCCCCGCGATGTATAATAATTGATTGTATGTCAACACTTACATTTCTTCTTATCTTTTACACACGTTGTATTGGAGAAATAACAATTATGACTCACTTAGCAAGCCCCTTATACTAATCCTTTGTTGGTGAGGCCATAGATATTAGAGTACTCTAATATCTATGGTGAGACCTTATTTAAATCAAAATTTGTACAATTGCAAGTTGAAAATTTATTTGCTAATTTATATACATGTACATGTAGCTACAATATCCAGTAGTACAGTATCCAGTAGTACAGTATCCAGTAGTACAGTATTCAGTAGCACTAGTATTGTGAGCCCATCACCTACAACAACTACAACTACAATTCAAGGTATAGTATTAAAGTTGTTGCCTTTACATAATTATTATTTGACTGTATTAGACCCTCCTCCTACAACACTAGCAACATGTCCTCCTCCGCCAGGTTGTAAACTATGTCTTTGGGCTATTATTGTTATGATTGTTCTTGGTGCCTTGTTGGGATCAGCTGTTGTATTTCATATTTGGAAGCTATGGTGGCATCATTGCTGTTGCTGTAGGAAATGTTTCTGTGAGGATGAGGGTTGTTGCTGTCAGAGTTGTTGGAATTCACCATTTTGGACTTATTTCTTTTGTGAATGCTTTCAGAAAAAAGGTAAGTTTTATCTATTCATTTTTGCTCATTTGTGTTGTTATAAAATAATAATGGGATTTTACCTCATTGGCTTCAGTGTAATGAAGTTTTTGCTTCTTTTCACTTTAAGGCTATATATCTCTAGTACCCTCTCTAGTGAACTGATTAAGTGATACAACATACACTTACTTCTTTAATTATGTGTATGTCATGTCTCTTTGACAAGGCAACTTACCTTGTATTTGAATTTCTTTTTTCATTTCAGCTTTACTTGTGACTTTATAATTATAGTAATAAGTTTTGACCAGAGTATGTTGGTACTTGGTACTATAATAAAAAGCTGTATCAGAGTTTCTTTGCATATAAATTTAATTTATTGTTTTTTGTTAGATAAAAGAGAAACTACTATGCCCTCGGCTACAAATTTATTGACAAAATCTTCTAATGAAAAGGATGTGATGTTATGACCTATTTGAAAGCCAATGTTGGCATTTATTAAAAAGGACATGTCAAAGATGTGAATTCTTATTAGCTTACTGATTACTGCTGCTACTTTAATATAAAATTGACATCATTAATAATTAATATGTCCATAAGCAGTCTTAGTGTATGTATTAATAATATCTTCTTGTTGTTGTTTATTAATTGGTAATCATATATTGCTGCTGCTACTCCTCCTTGTTGTTGTTTATTCCCTCTATTCTTCATTATACACTATACAATGATATTAGTAATTATTGATGTAATGAGTCCAGTTAATAGACCAGTGATAGGTACTGCAATAGCAACTGAATGTGTATGTATAATATATAGATATATTAGATATAGATCTACCAGTATTATTAACTAACCACTGATGATTAATCTTCTACAAGTTAATTGTGGTACTGGTTTGAGCTGATTCCAATCAAGTTTGGATTTTTTGTGATTTTTTTAAATTGCTCCAAAATCAGACAAAAGTCCCTTTACTATAGTACAGGGATTTTTGTAAAATTTCACAAAAACTGACAAGTAAAAAATTCCTCAATTTTATTACATTTCCTGATGCATATACATGTACTTATACTATGTAGAAACTTTGAGCTGATTCCAATCAAGTTTGGATTTTCTATGATTTTTTAAAGTTACTTCAATTCTGTATTAATCATGAAGGAGCTGGTCCTTCTCTTCCAATAGTATCAACTTTAAGATCATCAATAGTTATTAGGATTGTTCCCAGTAAAATTGTATTGAGTAGCTGAACCATTAATATCGCTGTTGTTAACTAGAACTTTATAATACTTCATACATTGTTGGTTCTGTTGATTAAAATGAACTAAAAAATACAAAAGAATATACACTATATACCTATGACATTATAATGAAAGACAGAGAGAGAGAATACAAGATAGAGTTAATTGTTTCACAATACATTATACTAAAGTATGTCCATTCTATACTACTGGAGACAGGGAGGATTGATGTCTTTGTGTTGGTTTCAAGGTTTTGGTTTTGGTGGTATTGGAGGAGGAATATCCAGACCACCTAACCTATCCATGATCAGCTCTTGAGTACTGAACTTCCTCTGGAGGAGAGGGGGAGAGAGAGGGAGGGGTGAGTTATAAAGGGTGTGTTACTCCATACAGTATAATGTGTATTGGCTTACATTTCCATTGACTGCTACATGGACTACTCTTTCCTCAGTGGGTGGTTTATTCTTTGGTGTTCTCTTACCAGCTGCTATTGATAGATCAGCATACAATACTTTATGAGGAGCAGCTGGAGGAGGAATGGGAGGAGGAACAGACTAGGAGGAGAGAGAGAGGATGTATAAGATACCATTACATGTACATGTACATTATCATTACTTTGTTGTTAACTGATGCATATACCACTGGTTGTTCTTGTGTTGGTGCTCCCTGTGGTCTCTTCCCTTTAGCAGCAATAGCCAGATCAGCATACACTGGCTTATGAGCTGATTCATCAACTAACACCTATTGAATATAACAACATGAACCTTAATTACTAATGTACATACCTTATGTACTAATATACCTTATACTAATGTACATACCTATACTAATGCATTTACATGTACTTGTGGTACGTGTGTATTAGTTACTATAAGGTGGTACATCAGATTACATAAGGATAAGTTCACCTTATTACATTAAAAGCTAAAAGGATGTACTCAATTCACCCATTACCCCTCTTCTCTTCCTTTTTATGATACAATACATAATGTACATGTAGTTCATTAAACCCAATACATTATGTACATGTAGTTCATTAAACCCAATACATTATGTACATGTAGTTCATTAACCCAATACATTATGTACATGTAGTTCATTAAACCCAATACATTATGTACATGTAGTTCATTAAACCCAATACATTATGTACATGTAGTTCATTAAACCCAATACATTATGTACATGTAGTTCATTAACCCAATACATTATGTACATGTAGTTCATTAAACCCAATACATTATGTCAAGAGTGGATTATGTACATGTATCCATACCTGGTTGTTGGTGTTTTTATTAATGGTTGAATATAGTCCAGTAGCACCAGTAGACAGACCCTGTTGACCCTTATTCTATTAATAATACATTATATGATCCATTTTTAAAAGACTCTCTCATTAATCACTGACCTCTCCCTCTCTCTTCAATACAGAGTATTCCTGTACTCCCTCAGGATTATACACTGTAAAAACAAAATAGTTAAATTAACCCCAAAATTTGGGTTAATGAAAATGCAACCAGAGTAACCTTAATTTCGGTTAATGTTAACTGCTTTCTTTTGTAGTTAAATTAACTATTTGAAATTAACCTTAAATTTAAGGTTAAATTTAACCAAT